CATATCAAGCGTTCATGAGCCCAATTTCCAGGTAAAACGGCCGTCGATTAGCTCTCAGTGTTGTACAAGGTACTATATCGTGATCAAACGATGATGTATTAAAGAGGAGATATCCTCTTTATTCACTAAACAGATAATTATGCTGTCTGGAGCAGTCTTTTCCACTGAAAAGGCGTACGGAGAGTTCTAAGCGAGCTTGTTTCATCATACCTCATGCTTGCTTTAATACCTTCAAAAGTAAAACATTCCCTCTAAGAGATCTAGAGTTCCTACGCTGTTGCCGAAGGCCCTTAACGTTCACATGCAAGGGCAACCCAATCGTAAAGGAGCCTTCCACGTTGCCATTGATCCCTGTGTATTTGCTCAGAAGGCCCTACGCTGTTGTCGATGCCTTATCTGCTAGCATGCCGGACACTTGTTGATCAGGGACCCCCCATCATTTTTTCCCACTCGCCCGAGGGACTCGATGCGCCATTACCCGGCCCTACATGTTAGCCTGTCGGGGTACTCTCCGGCGCTGCTCATAGGCCCTTCACATTGGCCCCTGGGCCCTTCACATTGTTTTCCACTTCATCGTAGGACCCTGTGCCGTTGCTGGGGCCCATGTAAATTAATGCACTGAGGCACTCGACGGTCAGGAACCTTCTACACTGATCTTGATGTAGAGATCGTTCCCCTTTTATGTCATTCGCGGAGAAGCCTTTACTCTTGTCGGGCCCCTTCCTGTGCGTTTGCCCGAGCACTCTTGATCGCACAGGAGGCCGCTACAATGGCCCTGGCCACTTCAGCTTAGAGAACCCTAAACTACTGTCCGGGGCCACTTGACGTTTGTCTGCGAAGGCATTCTCGATCGCTGAAAGACATTCATTCGCGTGCCCTGGCTTTGTGTTATTTCCTTTTGCTCGGAGGGGCCTGCGCTGTGGCCAGGGCCATATTGTTAATCTGTCGAGGTGCTTCCAATCGTTCAGGGGTCCACCATGTCGGTCTTGGGTTCTTCTCGCTTGCTCAGAGGACCCTACCTACACTGTTGCCGGAATCCATTTTGTTGGTCCTGTTGCGGCACCCTTGATTTTTCAGGCGTTGTCCCCATTCGTCTTGGATTTTCCCATTTTACCAGAGTGCCAACGTTGTTGACGGGGCATGAATTGTTATCGGCCGGGACGCTCTGACCGTTCCAGGGTCCCGCACAATGGTGGTGGGCTCTTTTGATGACGTCAGAAGGATCATACCCTGTTGGCGAAAGCCCACATGTGCCCGGGAGCACATGTACCAGTGAGCACATGTCAATAACTTCGGCACAATCGTCAAAGATAATGTGACGCGCCGTTGACGTCGCACATGTCATTTTCAGTCGTTATTGAGTTTGTGACCCTATTTGTGATTGCGCGGCACGTTTTTAACACATTTTGAAAGCTAGAATATGTTGCTCTCTTTAATAACTGTCACGGCAAAATCTCTGCAATAGTCATCAGCCATCAGCCGATCCTATCGACGAGACGGGTAACCGCCGAAAGCCGGGTAACCGTACGCATCTTCGGAATCAAGTGTCGCGCTTGATTTTGATAGCATTTGGCAACCAACCTTGCTTTTTGCCATATATTCTCCGAAAAAGCTTAGCATTAAAACGAATGTGGAGACGATGAGCATGCTCCATGTATGTGCATATGTGTCTAGAGCTGCGGACAGGAATATTGACTCCAGTGTAACAATGCGCAAACACAATCTGAAGATGACATGGCCGGAATACAATATTTTTGGAGGGGCCCCAGACTCCAGGGGACCAACAAGGCCCCTTCCCCTGACGAAATCCTGGATCCGCCGCTGGATGGTGACCAGGCGCGCATTCAGGATTGCACAGTGGCGCAGCAAGGGCGTAATTGGTCGGTTTGAAACTTGTTTTGATGTTGAGAAATGACATCCCATTTAAATCCGATACGATTCATGTTACAATGATGATATATCATAATGACGCTATCGATGGTGATATGTTTAGTTAACTGGCGTATCAGTATTCCTGACATTTGCTGTATTCCATTAGTGATTCAGTCAGGGAAACATTTGCTGAACACGGGCAGGGACTGCATCCCAAATGCAAAAGAGCCTCTGCGTTGGTCGGGGCCATCTGACAATGAAAGGAGATGTGATAGCTTATGGTGAGTCCACAATTAGGCAATGGAAGGACACTGCAATGACCATGTTACGGTGGCTTGGGAAAAATACAACCAGACCCCAAGATTGCAACCGTGTGCATTTGATCACTCTGGAAGAGGAATATCAGCCACCAGCACAACACACTCGCCAGATGTGTTTTCGGCTGCACTGAGTCGCATCAGTCGTATATCGCATTGAGTTCGAACAGCGTATCACCAAATGCTTGCGGGCCGGCAGGAGCAGTACGCTGCACAGATGCGGCGTCCTATTTGAAATGCTTTATTCTTGAGCGAGGACGGTACAGGCTTGCACATACGATGCCATAGTGGGAGCATTATCGGCGGGCAATGAAAATCTCGCATCGGCCTACAATTGTTTTGCCCAAATACCTCCTCAACGGCGCAGAGCTAACTTTGGTCAACGCGTGCGAAGGGTGATGACCATAATACGACGGTCCAAAAAAATAGACTAAAGCCTAAATATTTCGACTGCATGCATTCCATTGAAGTGGTATAGAGCATAAGCTGCTAGTATAATACACTAGTCGTATTTTGGTCTTGACTTTATTTCGATCACCCGCCCCCCCCCCTCCCCTTCCCCATCAGCGATCACTCAATGCTTGAGAGTGCACCGATGCTATCATTTGCGAAGATACGGCTCCTAATTTCACATATTTTTATTTCTGCGGGGAAGGCGAAGCCTCGCACACTAGATATCATTGTAAAAATCATCTCGGCCCGCAACGTAAATCTGGCGTCATTCAGCCTGACGTTTGAGTTGTCTGTTTAGCTTTTTTGTTATTGTTTTTGTTATTGTTCCAATCATACCCTGATGGAGTAGGGTTAACTGCGTCCGGCGCGCGGGTGGAACGACTGTCATAATGCGGTGGACCGTTGAAATTATTTATGGTCAACACCTGAAAATTATAGCTGCGTGCGTTCAGTGGCACTGGAATTTGTGTAAAAGGTGTCAGTACATTATGCTCGTCCAATTTTGGTTTGGATTTCATTCCGTGCCCCGCTCCCCTCTGCCCAGCCCCACAGCGTATCACTCAATGTTTGGTGGCCGGCCGAAGCGGTGATTTGCACCGCAGAGTATCCCATTTGGCGAACCAGCGACGGCCGTGCGAGCGCGGGGGAGCTCCCTCGCTCATTGGAAAAAGAAGAAATGTAAGGGTAACGCAAGATAGCTTGCACCTTTTTGCCGCTGGATGCTTGCGCCTTGTTTAAACCCGGCCCTTGCAGCGGCCAAAATGTAGGCGCCGATCTTAATCACTGGAGATCGTAAAATATTTTTTTTAGCACTGTGTTCCAAAAAGATGGCAGCTTATTTTAAAAAATGTCTTTAATTGGAGGCGTGATAAATTTGGACTCAATCTGCAAACGATGGAAACAAACCCGCAAAAACGCTTTTGGATATTTAGCGCTGGATCACAAAACCTGAGCGTATAGTTGTCGGTCGTCCCACTCCATTGTGTCGAAGATCGGCAACATTAAGAACGCTGCAAGGTGCTGAATATGACATAATTTCACGGTGGCAGACCTTCAACAGTCATACCCCTGATGTCATTGTGCTTTATCTGATTTCCTTTGCGGCATTCACCAAAAACATCGCATGTTTGTTTTTTATTAAGATGGCTGGCGACAAAGCTGGCAAAATATGTTTGGTAGAAATAAAGCTGGTAAAAAATGAAATAAAATAAAATTACTTGTAATCGAACCCAAAGGCTGACACTGTGTACATTCGAAAGCACCGCTACAGTGCTGTGAACTGTCAGTACAACACACTCGTGGATTTTATAATTTTATTTCATTCGTACGAAACCCCAACAGCATATCACTCAACGCTCCTGGGCCGGGATGGAGCGGTGGTTTGCACATCTACGACGTCCATTTTTAACCACTTTAACTGGTACGCGGAGGCAAAGTCACTCTCTGAAGGACCGACATGGTAGTGTATATTCTAATAAACCCTTGACCCAACTTTGGCCGACCTAACCGCAGAGAAATGGTCGTGATACCGCGGTGCGGGAAACATGCCTATAATGAAACCAAAAGATCGCGACTGTATTCTTTTGATAGCGCTGGTACATGGTTATTACGCTCCCGGACAAAACACTCGTCGGATTTTGGTTTCCATTTGATTCGATGGGCACTCCAGCAGCGTATTATTCGAGGCTCGGGCGCCGGCTGCAGAGCTTGTTTGCACAAATGCGGTGTTCAAGTTGAAATATATTTATCTTAGCGCGGGAAGCGCATCATAGCGCGCATGATATCATTGAAGAAGCACTATCGGCCGACAATGTAAATCTAGCACATACTGGTACTGACCATCTAACACATACCTATTTGCTCAAATCACCCGTTCAGTTCTTTTACGACTCGTTCAATTGCATCCCCTGCTTAGATATTCCGGAGCGCCAATGCCAGCACAACCTTCAGCCAATTTGTCAACTTTACCAAACTTGTAAACTCGTTGACATCCGGCTGGAGAATCGTAGTTTTCCATGCATTGGAACTCGCCGCCGTCATTGCTGGGTAGCGTGATATTACCATGCATGATAACGATATATTCTTTGGGTGCTTTATTTATGAGCTCCAAGTAGATTCGAAAAGGCACGTGCCTCTGTTACTCAACAAGTACAAAACAGCAAACAAGAAACCAATGCGCAACTTCGATCGTACAAGCACCACGTGAATGGTTCACAGAAAACACCAGTCTCCCGAACCTCCCTAAACAGACCGCAGCTGAGCGCAGCTAGTCTACTCGCGTCGCGGAGTGCCGTGCCGGCCGATCTGGCGCGCGCCGCTCGGACCGGCCGCCCCTGCTGGCCGATCGGCCGTCCCTGCTGCCCGGTCAGCCGCCCCTGCTGCCCGGTCGGCCGTCCCCGCTGCCCGGTCAGCGGCCCCTGCTGACCGATCGGCCCGCCCGCTCACATCACTCCTTGCTGAAGTCGAACAAGGTGCCGTCCAGCCGGATGTTGATGTCACTCTCCTCCTTGGTGATACAATCTGCGTGGCCCACCTCGTCCAGGTGGTCCGGCTCCAGGTCAAACACCAGCATCCGACGGCGAACCTGCCGGCAGGACGCGCCCGCCCGCTCAGCCTCCACGCTACATATCGCGTGTTGAGGACCATTTGATACATTACAGGGATGTAGCTTCTTATTCAGGTGAGGGGGAGGACTTCAACGCCCCCTCCTTAACATAAAGACGCAAGGACATGAGGCCAACAAAGAGCCACAAGGGCTCATCGAGGTTGGCCTTCCTCGGGTTCAGCCCACATCCACGAAACTAGTTGAACCGCCTGACTTGCCCGAATTTAGCTATAAATGAGATCCTTAGACCACTAAAACTTGTCCAAGCGATTCTAAAATGTTGCTAGAGAGGGGCGCTCTACATCTTCATTTGACAGTCATTACCAATGATTCTCTTCTCTAAGACTACATGACCGGCGTCATCTTTTGACGCTGTGGCGTACTGCGAACGACGTCTCCGGGATGATATCATGACTATTTTATTTTCGATGGTAAGATGCCGCAATGCCGCTGTTTTCCGATGCTGGTTGGTGTTGTGGTCTTAAGAAGTGCTACATAATGTTTTTTTTGAATATTGTTATATTCCGAAAGGCGGTGCGAGGGTTCAATCAGCGGCGTGATACATCAGAGAATGCACAAATATGATGGCACGCAATGTTTTGAGGTTAAGTGTAGGTAACAAAATTTTCGGACTTTATTCCACCTGCCCAAAACTTCTTTTTGGTATGTTTTCCATGGTATGCAGACTGGTAAATAAGAAGAAAGGGGACTAGGCTATCACATACGAAAAAGCTCCGTTACACTGGCAGGGTGTGAATCATGCTCAATGTGTTTAAATTTTCAAGCAGACAAGCACATACGGCGGTGTTAAATTTTGTTGTTATGTAAGGACAATTCCCTCCCAGAATGTATGTTTGAAACCTCAATTACTCATGCTGGACTGCTCAATGATTCTTAGAAGACGGAGCTTTAGCTTGATGTGTTATATTGCTATCTCTGGTGATGCAACTTGAGAGAAATTCTATCACATATACGCATGCATGGCGCTTTGACTAACTTAAGGATTGTTCAGCATGGCAGGACGTGGCGCTAGCCGGGGACCAATTCGACCGTCAAGAGCGCGTCCGAGAGGACGTGCCAGGAACACTCTCTTTTCTGGAGACCAGTAAGTGATCAAGCTATCGCATAACACAACTCGCAACGCTGTTTATGCTTCTAATGTAACGACATGCATTGTGGCATGTGTTGCGTTTTGGTCTCGCTCAAAGCACAGCTTTATGTTGACTCTTCACTGTAACAATCACTGGGCGCTCCCGGAGCATTGGATACATCGGTCAGTGGTAAAAAATTGTTTTACGGATCGTATAAGTCACGAGATCAGGCCGCATCGAATCGTACTACATCTAAAACGATTCAATGTTATGCCACTGCATGATAAAAAATGACTGGAAAAGTATGAAAACGCATTATAAGGCAAAAGAGTACTTGTCAACCGGTAGCAACTAACATCCACTTCTTGGCTCGTATAGCTTTCGCACCTAGCACAGTTCCATTCATTTTCCTATCTATCATCCCGTATTCATATGCCTATCTATCATCTAGTATTCATATGCCTATCATTCATATCCGTATCTGCCATTCATATCCCTCTAGACAACATATGCCTAGCTTTACCCTAATTGTTTCAATGGCTTTTGTACAAGTCGCAACAATACAAACACACACACGCGTGCCAGTCGCCTCTGACTACGGAGCCATGCGCAGGGGGGGGGGGGGGGGGCGGTAGCGGCGCTCGCGACTCACCTTCTCCACAAACATCTCGTCGACGGCCGGCGTGCGCGACAGCACGTACACGTTGCGCCGGTGCACGATCTTGGCCGCGTGCTGGCAGTGGAACACGCCGGCATAATTGTCGTAGTCGGTTGTCATGAAGACGTATTTGGAGCTCAGGGGATCTGCGGACGGGCGCGCCAGTGATGAGTCAGCGTGGGTTTGCACTAGGCTCTAGCTGCTGTGGTCTCGCGACCTTGCATGGCCCAATCGGCGGGTATTCACGCTTCCGAGGTAACTGTCAGATTTTGAATGCATGTGAATACAATGGCACGGTCATGCCCCAGACATGTGTGTTTGAATGTACTGATGACATTAACTATGCCTTGGCGTTGCACCTGGCCCGCTCGACTGACAATAGCGGCTTACTGGTGGAGAATGTTGCCTGGTACGCTCCGGGCGGCCCGTTGTCCCTGAGCGTGCCGACGCTGCTGTACTTGTGGTCGAGGCTGACGGCGTCTAGCGCCCGCAGCTCCTTGGACTCCACCACCCGCAGGCCGCTCTCGGTCCGGGTGTAGTTGAACGTCAGGCAGCTGGAGGTGGTGCCGAAGGCGCGGTGGACGTACCAGAGACCGACGATCTGCCAGCGGGGTGGCCGGCCGTCAGCACCAGCGGAGGAATCGCGCAACGCTTGTCCCGCTCCGCCACCCAATTATAGTGTACATCACCTTCCCTTGATCGTGATACACACGTGACGGCATCGTCTGCACATTTTGCGATCTGAAAGGATTGCCCATTTGTTGAGTCGATGAAAATATCGCGCCGTTCTGTAAACGATGAAGAGACATCGTCTGCGTCTTACCCGGTCGGCGTCGAAGTCGTCCATCGGTTTCACGTTGGCACACTTGCCGGCTCCGTACTTGTGAGCCGCCACTGCCGAGACCCCCACCAGAAGCGCGAAAAGGGTGGAGCCGAGCATGGTCGCAGCTGTGGGAGGCAGATCAACTACGTCACGGCGA